CATTTCAAATGCTTTTGAAACACTTCAAAACATCCATAATTAATTTAGCACATGATATGATATTTTAAGAAAATTTCTGCATCATTTTTTTTCATTGACATCTACCATTTCCAAAATTTCGTAACATATTATTTATTGAAAAAATAAATTTATAAGATTTTGATCATGAATTTATAAGACCTTTGACAAGAATTTACTAGCTCATAAAAGATAATCTACAATTACTGATTTTTTTTTTTTTAATTTAAAAGTTTAAAACACATAATATATATTACTTTTAGGCCTATGAATTACTATTTGTTTGTTTGTTTGATTTTTACTTGTTACTTAGAAAAGATTATTTGAAAAAAAAGTCAATTTTCTATAATTCGAACTTTTATTTTTACCCATAAAATTCGAATTAAAGAAATTATACTGCATAATTATATAAATATAAAAATATAAAATATATATATATATATATATTTAAAAAATTAGTAATTAGTAAGAAATTCACTTATTTTATTAATTTTTTGGATTATTGCTGATTAAATATTATTAAAGTATATATCAAAAATTATTAAAAAAAAAATTATCACGCCAGCAGCATTCTTCGTGGCATGAGGGCAAAAACAAAATAAACAGTTCAATTAAAGTAAAGAAAAAAATTAATATCAGCAAGCAAGTGGTGATACTGATATTATAGGTAACGCATAAAAAAATATTTCTGTTTATGAAGAAAAATAGAACAAAATTTAAAATAATATAATAGTAATAGCAGTTAAACTGTAGCTGCATTAACAGCGAATAAGTTAAACTGTAGCTGCGTTAACAGCGAATGAGTTAAACTGTTGCTGTATTAACAGCGAATGAGTTAAAAACTCACTTTGACAGCTTTTAATAATAATTCAATTTGAATAATTTAAACAAAAATAGTTTATAAGTTATTTTTTTGAAGCTAAATAATTATAATAATATTATAATTATTTAGCTTCAAATATTATTTGTTTTTGAAATTATTTACGTTTGCATGAATTTTTTTTTCGCAGTTTTATACTAAATTTTTTCATTTTACGGAACTGTATATGGAGTATATGTGATGTATTCTCATAGTTTTTTGGCCCCATTATATTCGGCCGCCTGCGAGCGGCTAACGCAATTAACGCCGGTCAGGCACGGCCCTGTATGCAGTATAATTATAATATATATATATATATATATATATATATATATATATATATATATATATATATATATATATATATATATATATATATATATATATATATATATATATATATATATATATATATATATATATATATATATATAAAATAACTCTTATTTATCTCCTGATCCTCTTTCGTCTAACTCTAGAGCTTTATCTGCAGATAAAAAGGTAGCAACTACTTTGTACTGCTTGAAAGATACTGGATCTTTGGACATAACTACAAACATTTTTAGAATTGCAGTATGCACTGCTTCAGCCGTTATAGTTTTAGTTACATATATATTATATATGTAAATTAGAGGCTATACTAAAGTATATAAAAAATAAATAGTAAAGTCCGTAATTTAAAGTTACGTAACTTCTCCTTATTATAAATACTGACAAAATTATATTAAGTGATGTGATGATTTCAAAAGCCTTAAAAGTATAGGTAAAAGACCGCAATTTATTGAAAACGGAATTTTTTCGTTTCATAACAACGGAAAAAGTTTGATAAATACTAAGGAGTGTTTTTACATTGTGTATGTATATATATATATATATATATATATATATATATATATATATATATATATATATATATATATATATATATATATATATATATATATATATATATATATATATATATATATATATATATATATATATATATATATATATATATATATATATATATATATATATATATATATGTATACATATATGTATACATATATATATACATATATATATATGTATACATATATATATATACATATATATACATACATACATATATATATATATATATATATATATATATATATATATATATATACATATATATATATACATATATATATATATACACATATATGTATACATATATATACATATATATATACATATATGTATACATATATATATACATAAAATAATCATCAAAAGTTTCTCCAACATTATTAAGTGACAGTTTTAAAATTTGTAAATATGCTGACTTGAAGCGCTTTACAATAACTCACTGCCTAAATTTTAGATAAATATTGAAATTGTGTAAAAATAAATATTTTAATAAGGTTCAAATTCAAAAAAGTTTTAGTTTTTTATGCAATTAAATAACTTTTTTTTTATATATAATAGTGTTAGCAAGCTAAATTTTGTTTTATATAAATTATTATTTTTTATATTATATATATATTTATACTATATTTTTTAAATTTATTGAGTAAATAGATTCATATAAAAGACTTAGGTTTTTATCGCGTAAAAAATCTGGTTTACAACACGATAAAATTAGAAAAGATATTA